CAGGCCACTGCGAGGCCGGGGGGCCGCCCCCACCCCGCCTGCTGCCCCATGTCGCTCCGCTCCCGACTCCACCCTGACCCTTCCGGGCGGGCTCCTCTCCAGCTCCCGCGAGGAAATAATCGACTCTTCAGTGCTTCAGGTTTCTAACTACACCCAGGGCTTCAGGAGGGATGTAACTTCCTGGGAGAGGAACAGGCCAACCGAAAACTCACATCGAGGAATTGGTGACTCACAACCAAGAGCCACAGAGCCGGGGTAGCTGTCACTCCAGGAGACGAGGGCCTGGACGCTCGGGGTGGGAAACACCAACCAGCCCCAATCCGCCCGCCCCACCCCGTCCCCAGGGGGCTATCTCAGGAGCCCCAGAGAGAGGACAGGAGCCCACGAGGCCACGCTGGCAAGGCCCTGGCTCGGAGACCTGGTCACAGGCACGCCACGCCGTCAAGGCCGCGTTTCCTGAGCCCTCTCGCCTTCCTGGAAGGCGGCAGGCCTCGCAAGGTCACTGACATGGACTGGAGGCCGCGCCCGTGGCTCCTGTCAACAGGGAAAGCTGCTGTAAACTGTGTGATGGGTGGCTGTTGTCTGATGGGCTTCCCGACCTCCGGAGGACGGCAGGGGCGGGAGACGGGGGCCACTTGAGATTTTCCAGGCTTTCTCGCCAGACAGGCCTCCCGCGGCCTGTTCTCCCCACCCGGCGGCCCCTGCCCAGGTGCCCGGTGCCCGAAGTTCCCCTCCCTCTGTGAGTCCAGGTCGGCGCTGTCCCCACGGCCCCGCCACTCGTCCCCGCGCAGCTACCCGGACCGCACGATTGGACCGAGTGGAACAGAGGAGCCGAGGCAGTTTTGTGCCGCCTGTTGGTTCACGGAGCGCGTCGACACCAGCCCCGCGACAGGGCCCTTCCTTGTCCTTCCCTCCTGACCCCCGACCAGGCTCCGGGAGCAGCCCCTTAGGGCCCGTCGACAAGAGGAGGGAGGCCCAGTGTCCCCCGGGACCCCGCTCCCCGGTGTAAAGGAAAATGCCTCGGGCCCAGAACACCCACACGTGTTACAGAAGGTTCACTCATTGGAATCAGCCGCAAGCAGCCCTCAACCAGCGGTGTCGATGGCCGACCCTCCCTCCCGCAACACCCCTATGGAAGAGCTCCATTCAGTTATCTCAGCTCCGTGGCAAACCATGCCAGGTAAGCGTCTGCCCACGGGACGTCTCAAAGCCATGGTGTTCCCAGTGCCCGCTCCTCCCCCGCACCTCCCGAGGTGAGACCAGCGGCAGCAGAAGCCACCACCCCACAGATTTCGTGAAGAACACGTAGACTGGTGGCAATGTCCCTCTGTCCCAGGATGGGTGTGTAAGGTGAACGAGGAAAGAATGACAGAATCACTCTGAAAAGAGAAAGAAAGAAAACAGCACACACACACACACACACACACACACACACACATCAGCGAGAGACGTTGGGAATGGTGTTCATTTCCACAGACTGATCCCAAATCGCCTGTGAGGGATGATGTCACCCCCCAGCTACTCAGGGCGCTGCCAAAACGTTGGCGGAATCCAGATGTCGGGGCTCCCAGCACAAAACCCACAGCTGCATGCAATCAGCAGAGCGTCTCCTCCGAGGGCCGAGCCCGTCCCCCCGCCCCCCCCCGCCTCCTCCCCCTCCTCCAAGAAGAGGGGAGCCCATCCAGGGAGGCCGCGCTGGCCCCGGGCCACGCAGGAGACGCCTTCGAGCAATCGCGGCTCTGAAACGGCCCTTGGAAAACTTCTTCTGAAAAAAAATCAAGGGTTAGACAGCCCCAAGCTGTGCTGACGTGGCCACGGCCACGGGCGTCAAGGAATGAGCGTGGCTGAGTTCCAATAAAACTTTATTTACAAAAGCGGGCGGGGGGCTGGCAGGGGCACACAGGCCGCATTCTGCCAGGGCCCGCGCGAGAGGGGCCAGTTCCCGGCCCCAAGGCCCGGGATAGGAACCTGACCCAGAGCCAACAGCAACAGCGTGCGGAACCCTGGGGCGGGACGGAATTTCTGCAACGAGCCCCCGGGGGGGACGGGGAGATAAGACTCCATTCTGCAGGAATGTGGGGTCCCGTGCCCCACCTGGCAGCCCGGCCTGCGGAGGGGGGCAGGGTCCCAACGGCCGTTTCTAGGACGTTTTTGCTTCTGGAAAGGAGTGGACACGTTTCCAGTTCTGAAA